CATCCACACCCCACCCATCCCCCACTGCACACCTGATCCTGCCCACCACCTCTCCCACTGGCTTCCCTGCATCTCGTCCACGCTACCTTGCTCCCTTGACTGCCACTTTCCACGAGTGTCCAGAATGATCCTAAAACACTTGAACTTGGCCCTGCCCTTCCCCCAAACTCCCTCCACTTCCCCATCTCTCTTTTGGAAGGGAAGTCAGGGATGCCCCCAGGAGGAGGTGATCTCTAAGAATCTGAGACCCAAATGACCCACAAGAGGAGGTGTGAAGAGCATCACACTGAAGGGGATGATAGCACATGCAAAGGTCCTAGGGTGGGAAGATTGTGCGGGTTGGGAACAAGAGGAATCTGGAGAAGGAAGAGATGGCGGCAGGCTGTGAGGGCACCCCTATCTGATTCCAAGAGCAGTTGCAGGCCACTAGAAGTGGAGGTGGCACCCCAATGGACAGCTACCAGCCCCCTCTAGCCAGGTCCCTGTACACACCCCACAGTCTCTCCAGTGGCCAGGCCTGACCCCTCCCCGCATGGTCACGCCACAAAGTGCCTTCAAGGCCTGCGGCTGAGTCCTGCCCCTCCATTACGCCCCATCTCCCACCTGCAGAGGGCACGCCCCCAGCCACACCTCGGGCAGGTTAAACCTCAGGTGGTTGCACATGATGTTGAAGTGCCGCTGTGGGCCATCCTGCTCCACGCCCTCCACGTAGCGCGCCAGGAAGAGCCAGGGGTAGCCCAGGTGGAAGCGCGAGCCGACTGGCAGCGCCACCGACAGGTTGTGCCTCTCAGCAAAACGGAAGAGGATGTTGAGCACCGTGCTGCTGGCGGTCTTGTGCGTCTTGAGAAACATGATGTTGGTGACGGGCAGCCCCTCAGTCTGGCCCCGGAGTAGGCTGGGAGGACAGCATGCTGCCATCAGTGAGGGACACTGCCTCCCCTTCACCCCCAAGCGGAAATCCCCACTGGGAGAGACCCCAACCCAGCAAACCTCCCAGCTTCATGACCCAGCGACCCCCCAACCTGCTTCCCCAACTACATGACCTCAACCCAGCAGCCCCCCTCCCAATCCGCACTTCCCATAGTGGTGACATCCCAACCCTCCCAGCCTCATCACTGTGGTCCCTCTAACCTAGAGACCCCCCACCCTGCAGCCCCCAAGGACCCACTGGCACAAACATGATTCTCCCTAAGTGGCTGCATCATCTGCCCCTCGTGTACTGCAGGCTGGACCCCTAGACGCTGGCACCCCTCTTGGCCCCCCAACTTCTTGTCTGGCACCTGGGGCACCTAACATGGTGCTGGCCCTGTGGTCTGAGCCATGTGTCTGGCATTTCTGGCTGATCCTTCATATCAGGATGGGCCAGCCTGACTGCAGGGCAAGAGCGGTGGCTGTGCCCCCAGCGGTGGATTCCAGCCTGGAGCAGCAAGGCCCCAAAGCAGGGCCAGTAAGAGGGACCCAGGATGGGGGAGGAAGGCAGGGTCCAGAGGCCTGCACTGGCCTTGGGGACAGTGAGGAGTTGGGGGTAGCAAAGAGACCCAGGGACTTTGGCATTCCCCCATATCCCAAGGAGATCCAACCAACATTGGCGGTAAGGGCAGGAGGAGATGGCCTGGGGCCACAAAACCCTCCCAGCAGCCAGGCTAATGTGCTGGGCCTGTGTGGCCATTCCCATGGGCCCTGGGCTTCCCAGAGGACATACCACTGGCAGGCAGGGAGCAGGGGTCTTGATCTTCCCGAACCTAGGCCCTAACCCTGCCTCCCAGCCACCTGGTCACCCTCTGCACAGAGCAGCTCTTCCCAAGACACCCGCAGCCCAGGCCCAGGCCCCACCCTCCCAGAGTCCTCCTCACTGCCCAGAGGACTCATTGGGAGGGCCTCAGTAAGCTAATGGGTCCCCAAAAGGAAGGGCCCACCCCATCTAGGAGATGTGACCTGCCCCGGTCACTGGCCAGTGCTTGGAGATAGGCAGGCTGGGGCCCTGTACTCATCAGGGAGGAGCGTGCCCGGACCACAGGGCACCCAATGCAGCACTCACGGTGTGAGCATTTCCACGTCCACATGCAGGAGGCCAACCAGCAGGAGCAGGAGCAGGGTCAGGAGGAGGAAGGTCCAGAAGCGCCTGTGTGCAGGGGAACCAGTGAGCCCCTCAGTCAGGGGCACAGGAGGGACCGATGCCACCCACCCCACCCACCTCAGCTCAGCATCATCCATGTAACAGCTCCTATTGAACTTAAGTGGCTATACCCTCTGCCCCTCATGTGCCACAGGCTGGGCCCCTGTGCAGGCCTGTGCAGGCCCGTGCAGGCCCTGGGTGGATGGATCATCAGACTCTACTCCCCGTTGGCCCCCTGCCACACTACCCACTGCCCAAAGCCAGGGGAAGCCAAGAGGCAGAGCCCTTCTCTGGGAAGTGGACAGGAATCTGACAGGTGGAGGTGAGAGCAGGTCAGGGGTCCCTGGAGACTGGCCTGACTGAGACCTCTGAACTCACACCCCAGGGACACATCCTGGGTGGGGGCCGAGAGGTAGTACATCCTGGCATTCCGCCCCCCACAGAAGGGGAGGAGCCCCACAAAAAAAGGACACTTAGAGGGCCCACCTGGGTTCCAGGAACTCAGCAGGTGGGGTCCAGGCAATAGTCCCTGAGCTGGGACACCCAAGGGAGACACGGTGACCAGATCAGGGAAGGAACAGGCTAGGACAGGGGCGCCCCATAGTGTAGGGCTGTCCCTCACTGTTGTGATTGGCACCACCTCTCAGGACCTCTGAGTTAAAGGGCACAGAGCCTTTGTCCAGAGAGGACATGTGCAAGGATTTGTCCTGGAGTCACCACATACCCCTTGACACCTGACCTGCTCTACCCCATGGAGTCCCAAGGGGTCACTGATCCCCACTGGGCTCAGGAAGATCACATGTCTCACCTGAGGCCACTCGCTAGGGAAGAGGCTTGTGGCCCAGAGACACACTAATCCACAGGCCACACTGTCCCCGCCGCACAGCACCGGTGCCCTTCCACACGGGCAGGTGGGGAAGCCTCCTGGGGCGCTGGAGGAGCCAAGGCACACCAGCAAAGCATGTCCAGTGGAAAGAACCAGGTCAGGACACAGCGGCACCATTGTGGGAGGGACACGCTCAGGGGGATGCCAGACACCCTGAGGGTGTGCCCAGGAAGGAAATGTGCACCCTGCAGACACAACACTCTGCATGCACTGAGCGCACTGCACACCCTGCACACAGTGTGGGCACTGCACACACAAAGCACACACACTGAGGACACTGCACGCACAAAGCACACACTGTGGACACTGTCAACACTGCACGTGCTGCACACACATTGCACACAATGCACACACACGGACACTAGATAAGCTTTTCCCCCACTCACTTCACTCTTGTTCTTCAAGTAATTCTTTCCTGGATGCTCCCTCAGTCCTATGTCAAGTGGAAATAGCTGATCCTTAAGAAGTGATAGAACAGCCCAGCTGGTGTGGCTCAGTGGTTGAGTGTCAACTTGTGAACCAGGAGGTCACAATTCGATTCCCAGTCAGGACAAAAGCCTGGGTCCCGGGCTCAATCCCCAGTGTGGGGTGTGCAGGAGGCAGCCAATCAATGATTCTCTCTTCCCTTCTTGTCAGAAATCAATAAAAATATTTTTTAAAAATAAGTGATATAATATTATTATATTTAAAATCATTTTTCTTGAAATATTAATGTTTGTTGCATGTAAATGGCTAATTATATTGTATCTACAACCTGGTAATAGATTTAGTTTGCATATTGTATGGTTAAGTGCAAAGTAAATAACTAAATAAATAAATGTGGAGGGGGGAGTGATAGCCCTAGCTGGTTTGGCTCAATGGATAGAGAGCATCGGCCTGTGGCCTGAAGGGTCCCAGGTTCGATTCCAGTCAATGGTACATGCCCAGGTTGAGGGCTCAATCCCCAGTAGGTGGCGTGCAGGAGGCAGCCGATCAGTGATTCTCATTATTGATGTTTCTATCTCTCCCTCTCCCTTCCTCTCTGAAATCA